ATTTTTAAACAGTCTTGGCCACTTACAGTTATTGTTTTACTCTGATGCTTTTGCAAAGGTGATTCACCTTCAGAGGTATTCATGGAAAGGACTCTGACAAGTACTCTAGAATATAGGTTTCGGATAACTTTAAGATCATAAAACTGAATGAGGTAAGAATTTCCAGAATGAATGGAAAAACTGGATTTAAGCAGAACAAGAATTAATAACATGGCATTGAATGAAATGATGAGGATGATTATAATTTTTAAAACTTTTTCTTTGGAAAAAATAAAGGAAACCTTTTTCTCTTTTCTCTTAAGCTATCTATGACTTACAGTAATTTTGTAAATTATACCTTTGTAAACAATTGAAACATTTACTTTTTCTCCCTCCCTGATCCCTCCAGAATTCAGAAACTTATTGAGTATTCTTATTTTCATGGCAATATAGTTATTTCCAAAAGTTGAATAAGAATCTGGTCTCCTTATAACAGGACACAACTGGAAACATTGGTCATATTACCAAGGCTTTGACTGGAATCTCATAATTGAGAATATGCATAAAATCAGCTATGACCAGACAGTTTCAAGGAACTAAGTTTGACTTTACGGAACCAATAAAAGCCCCTTGGAAAAACCAGCCTGGAACCTTGCTTATAGGGTTCCCAGCAGCTTTACCAGGTGAATAAAGAAGATCACTTCCTGGCAGGCCCAGGACCCTCAGGATACCCTCAAGAAGAGAGGAATTCACCCAAATCTATAGGTATTCCAGGTTAAGTCTGATAGTGAGTTCTTGAGTTGGTTTCTTATTCTGCACAGGCTTTTAAAAGTCCAATCAAAGATCCCTTATGAAAAGTTCCAGCAAAGCAGATTTAAAAAGTGCCTATATGATCAATCACTATTCTTGCTGCAATTATGTAAATAATCAGCCAAGTTTAATGAGACTAGACTTATTTTGCAAACAAATTAGTCTTACTGTGATTATCTTTGATAGAAATGAAGGTGATTGTAGAGGAAAAAATTAGGTTTCATAGAAAGTTATAACAGAACTTTGTGGATATCAGATTCTAGTCCTGTTCATTGTCTTTGAGATTTTGTTATATACCTATAAACTGAACTGGATCTCGAATTCTAGTTTCCTCAAATATCTGGCTACAACTCTCCAAACTAATGTTTCAAATTTTCTCCCACCTTTTTGATTTGGAATCACTAAGAACAAAGACTGCCTTGAGCCTCCTTGGAAGGATCATATCAGGTCCTCTTTACTACCCAGAAGGCAGCCAAATTTCAGAGACTTGAACCTTGGTCCACATCCCCTAATTCAAAAGAGCTCCTCCAGATTCTTGAAACTGCACACCAGCTAGAGATCTAAAATGAAAATTGACTCGGGCGGTTCCTCCCCAGAAGCAGCACCCAGCATCTTGAGGTGGATAGCTCTTTCAAGATCACAGCTCAAGATCATTATCTCCAGTATGAAAGCTTTATTCCTTTTGCTTTTTTGCTACTTGTGTTTTCTCTCTGTTAATGCACAAGAGGACAACGCTCCTTAACTCTGGCAACTATCACTGAATCCACTGCTAAGGCCATAGCTGCACAACAAAAGTCCCCTAGACTTTCTTGCTAAGGCGGTTTAAAATAATAAAATTGCTTTAGATTACTTATCGGCTGAACAAGAAGAAGTCGGTGCCATAGCAAATACCTCCTGCTGTACCTGGATCAACACTTCTGGTATTGTAACAAACACAAGAAATTAACAAACAAGCTACTTGGCTAAAACATGTTGACGTTCTGTCAGGTACATTCGTTGATGTATTTGATACCAGCTGGTTTGGATCATGGGGGCCCTGGCTAAGGAGTATACTTAAGAGTCTTGGTATTATCCTCCTAATAGTTATCATTGTAGCCTCCCTGCTGTGCTGTGTTCTCTCAATGGTCTTAAACGCGTGTTTGCAGCTATCAGCAGTACATCAGATGGTCTCGCTGTGCTTGGAGAAACAGAAATGAGATGAACAGTAAGAACAATGCTTCCGTGGATCTGACATCATACTTTATGAGTTTCACCATGAGACAAGAAGAACTTAACTTTGATGGTGACTGAGAGTGGCTCTAACGGGGGGAATTGTTAAATTAATTAAACGAGGAGGCCATTAAACTGACGTGCTCTAATGCCGCGGTGGCCTACATAAGCAAAACAAAATCTAAGCCTCTAAATGCCTCATGGTTATGAGATCAAAACACGGAGGACAACCAACCACAAACAGCCAACAAGGCTTTAAGCTATAGCCAACCAATAATTTCCTTACTTTGCTTCCACCTTTTCTCTATAAAAGTCTCTCCCCAACCTCCTGTTGGTGGAGCACTCCTAACCACTTCTGGTTTGGTGCTGCCCAATTCAAATCGATTTTTGCTCAAAAGACTCAAAATTAAAAAAACAATTATCTCCTTAAGAGAAATTATTGGGTGGAAAGGAAGGAAATTTTTTCATTTATTTTTCCCCTGATTATCAAAGTAAGATAAGCTTATCATAGACAATTAAAATATAATGAAACTGGGAAAGAAAAAACATCATTCAGTCTTCCATCCAGAGGCAACTGATGTTAATGTTTTGACATTATTTCTTCTGATTTATGCAGTTATTTTCTTTCTTAGTAAGGTTCAAAGATATGAAAGTTTTTGAGGCTTTTGATAATACTGCCAAAATTGCTTTCAATTTATACTTTTTCTGGAAGTGTATAAGTTGTGACTATTCTGAAAACACTAACATCTAAAAATTGTCAAGTGAGCATGATTGTTTCAAAACTTCCATGATTTGGTCTGGCTCACTAAAGTATGTTTGTGAACTTGGGAAAGGGCATAAAAAAATATAGAGCAAATATTACTTGGAAAACTCATCACCAGCTTTTGATTTCTTTGCGTAATTAAAGGATTCTTTTTTCATAGTCAGGATCTCATTTAATTCAATTGTCTTCGTAATTCTAACGAATTTTAACTCAACAATTTTCAAGGTGGCAAAAGCGTGATTGTGCAAAATGCATCAATGCGTAGGCTCTGGTTGAAATCTACCCTCCTAAAGGCTACCTTTGTTAATGGCGTTCATTCTTTGGGCAATTGAAAATGCCTATTTGACAAGTAGCTGTGAAACTTAGCTCACTGGTCCTTCTGGATGAAGACAGGTTATTGGTCATTTATTAATACTTGTTACCTGGGTTGAATAGAAGAAAATAGTCTTTGAGTTAAGACTTCCCAATCTTTATCATGGCATGGCACGCATAGAAAATAATGATATTTGCTCTATACACTGGAGTAAATGAATGAGGCTGATGTAGTCAGAGATGACCACCTGGAAGACTGGGCCCCCACCTGGCTGTCTTGAGGACTGCGGGATCCATGTTTCAGCCTCCTGTAATCCATTCATAGTATATCAGGGCCAGCTCTGCATCCCAGGGAACATAGAGGAATGTATCTGCTGATGTTATGAAGAAATTTCTTTCTTTTTAAAAAATGCTCTGTGTGTGTGTGTGTGTGTGTGTGTGTGTTTAACCTATTTCTTGCATTGATTATTGATTACACAGGGGTCTTATAACTGTGAAACGCCTCCTTAGTAGAAATACAGATTTTTTTCTACAACTTTCTGATCCTACCTCTTCACTATTCTTCACAAAATATGTCAACTCTTGTTCCAAAAGTTTTATTTATTTTATTTCCCTCACCTAGAAGTAATTCACAATTATTAACTGAGTTCTATCATGTACCAGGCACTTTGAAAACCCTAGGGATGGAGAAATTGTAAAAACAGCTTCTGACTCTAAGGTGTTCACAGTTTAATGGAGGGGAACACAGGAATGGTAAGAGAAAGCGAGAAACATTTAACAGCGGTAGGTCCAAAGTTCTACGGCCTTCTCCCTGGGGTAGGTGGGAAGACTTCTCAGAAGCAGTGACATCCGAGGTGTGACTTGAAGGAAGAGTGGAAGTGTCACATTTCAATCAGGAAACAAAGTACTGGATAAGAGACAGAAACTTGCAGTTTTTAGACATAGGTGAGCTTGTCAGTGTGCCTGGAACACCAAATCCAGGCAGCACGGAGAAGAGTGACAGAGGAGGAGGCTGGGAAGGAAGGTAGGGTTAGGTTTTGAGGAACTTTGCCTGCTGCATGGAAAGGTTAGGACTTTTTATGCAGGAGACTGACATCTGCAGACTTGTTTTTTGGGAATATCACTTTGGCATCAGTGTGGAGAATGGACTTGTGGATGGGTGGGGAAATCATTAGGAGGCTGCTGCAACTTTGAAAACAGAAGCGATGAGGGCTTGATCTAGGGCCTGGGTGGTGAGGGTGGATGAAAGGAGGCAGTCGTGATAGAACTCATAGGATTGGCTGCAGGAGTATGAAAGAAGTCAGTTTGGGCAGCTAAATAAATGATGATGTCATTAGCGAAGACAGGGAGAAAGGCTTAACATCCACCATTTCAGCTCTTCAAATCCAATCCATCCTTTAAGACCCAACCCAAGGGCCCTTTCCTTTAAAAGCCTTCTTCTTCCATCCTTGTCTCCTTAGGGACCGCTCTCTTCCCAGAATAGCTATTCCGGGAGTCAGCAGTTGACAGTTTGCTCCCTAAGCAGGAGGCTATTATTTCATATGTGTTAGATGTGTTTCCTAAACTGGATTGTAGAACTGTCATTCTCAAGCCCATCTCATGCTTCTCTGGTATTCATCCCAGCGACTATCTCACAGTGTTGGGCGTTAAGTAGATGCTGTCTACAATAGACAGTGGGGCCTAGTGCTGTGCTTGCAAATGAAATCTTAAATATAAATAGAGGAGCTGCTGTAGTTAATGCAGGGGTAGAAGGCCCAGAATCCAGGACCCGTGGCTTCCTCCTGTCTAGGGTTCCAGGAGACACAGTGTGAAAACTTTCAGCTTGGTAAACTGGTCATGGGTTTTGGAGTCAGATAGAACTGAGTTCAAATCCCTACTCTGTCACTTACTTAGGTGTAATAGAGCAGAGAAATGGGGAAATTGCTCTGAGCTTCACTTTCCCCTCTGTAAAACAGGGATAACAACACTTTGTTTGTAGGGTTATTGTGAGGACAAAGTAGGATAATGCATGCAAAGATCTCTGGCACCTATTAAATGCTCACTAGGTCATAGTTGTTGATAAGAATAACAGGACACTTGCTAACTGATTGAGTAACTGATCTTTATTGAATTGGTACTTGTTCAGTCTAAATAAACATACTCATGCTCAGGTTAAGAAAAGCCAGGGTTGGGGTGAAGCTATGGGTGAGTTTGGGATTCAGAGGGGACACACTCTTGTCTTACACTCCATCCACTCCATTAACCCACACTTGCCTGCCTCTGCATGAAGGTCTATCAATATTTAATGTGTGGGTGTCAGTTGCTGTAAACTGAGCATACCCCAGCACCAACTTGAATTAATTATATGCAAGAGGACAGAAAATAAAATGCCTTTTTCTCAGAGCCCCAAGTTTCACTGGCTACATCGAAGCTTGGAAACCACAGGGTGAAATTTCTGCTGATGGAGGACCCTGAGAAGAGGCTGAACCAGAAGGGTGACAGCAAACCCCGGAAAGTACGATTTAAAATCTCTTCCTCCTACAGTGGCCGAGTATTGAAGCAAGTCTTTGAAGATGGGCAGGAATTAGAGTTGCCAAAGGAAGAATACCCTCACAGTTTTCTCCAAGAGTCCCTTGAACCAATGGATGGTGTTTATGGGTCAGGGGAAGCCCCCAAACCCCGACCAAACTCCCCTAAGCTGACTGCTCAAAGGATCAGTGTGTTTAGAGAAGGCGATGCCTACACTTTGGCGGGCAGCCAGCCTTTCTTCAATGATTACAAGGCGAATGACCGTAAGGTTGGTATTGTGCATGGTGTATAAGCTTTAAGAACTAAAATGTGTTTAGGGTAACACCTAAATATTTCAAACTTGTATTTGCTCATGCTTTGGTAACAGCCAGAGCTATAGGTGCACCAAATGGGAAGCTGCTATTAGAATAATATTTCTAGGACAAAAATAACATGCTTGTTGACTTCTCATTGGAAAATGCAATAAGCATAGATAGTATACGCATTCCATCCAGGGTGATAAGTTGTAATTGGGTCTTTGGCTGGGTTATCTCGATGAGTAAATTAAATACAGATGCAGTGGTTTTCAGATTGCCAGACTGCCATTCTAGAAAATTACACGGCAATGAGTTGTTTTGTTTCCTGAAAAAGCTAAGTGTTTGAAGGTGCTCATTTTGCTCCAGCCAATTATTCAGCTTGTGGTTTATCCATGTCTTGTTTTATTTCCTCTCTCCCTCCTGCCGCCTGCTTTTAAAAAATGTTTGTTTATTTATATATTTATTTTGCCTTTCCATTGCTCATTAGCATGAATGCTGGGTAGTTGGAGTCCTGGGAAGAGATGGTGAAAAGCGAATCAACCAGAGGAAATGTTACATGGGGAAGAAGTTTGAGCTAATAGTTCAATTGAAACATGTATTTTTATCTGTGAATTTCAATTATCTTCCCCAGTACCATGGATAATCAAAAGCCCAGGCATGATTTTCTTTTAATCTAGAAGAGCCTGGGAAATATTCACTGATTTCCAAAAACTAATAGGATATGTGTATATGCTCTCTGCCGATGGGACCGTGAATGCCTTTTTTTTTTTTTTTTTTTTTTTAATTATTATTTTTTTATTTTAATAATTTTATTTATTTATTTATTTTTCCCCCAAAGCCCCAGTATATAGTTGTATGTCATAGCTGCACATCCTTCTAGTTGCTGTATGTGGGACGCGGCCTCAACATGGCCGGAGAAGCGGTGCGTCAGTGTGCGCCCGGGATCCGAACCCGGGCCACCAGCAGCGGAGCGCGCGCACTTAACCGCTAAGCCACGGGGCCGGCCCTGCCTTTTTTTTTTTTAAGATTAAATATAATTATATAATGTACCAGGTTATTAATGAATAGCACACCAGGATGTGTTCTCATCTTTAAAGTGCGAAATTCAGATAATTACTCTCTAATCATTTTTATTGTTAGTTTCCTAACAGAACAGATAATACATCTACAGCAGACAAAGGTAGTGACCTTGCTGGCACTGGTAAAAGTATAATTATGGGCAAGTCCACATTTATCAAAGATAATACCAAGTTTCTTTTTGATATTAAGGGGGTTGGGATGAACAACCTCTCATGTTAATGGAGTGACTTATGCATCATGATGTACTATCACATACTACCTCATTGAGTCTTCACCATAATCTTGAGGAGAAAGGCAAAATACAGTCATTCCCATCTTGCAGATGAGGAAATTGAGTGCCAAGTTGTTAAGGGACCTACCCAATATTATAGGGTCATTAGGTACAGAGTCAGAATAAGAACCTAGGTCTTCTGAAATTTCGTGCTTTTGGCCCTATGGAATGTTTCCTTTTAACAATAAGGCCAGGCCGGCTCTGTGGCTTAGTGGTTAAGTGCGCGCGCTCTGACGCTGGCGACCCGGGTTCGGATCCCGGGAGCGCCCCGAGGCACCACTTCTCTGTCCAACGCGAGGCCGAGTCCCATGTACAGCAACTAGAAGGATGTGAACCTATGACATACAACTATCTACTGGGGCTTTGGGGGGAAAAAACTGAATAAATAAAATCTTTAACAATAAGGCCAATAATAATAATGATGATGATAATAATAATAGTTACCATTTACTGAGTGCTTATTATGTCCTAGACATTTGGCTATGTCTTGTCCTCACAGTATATCTTTTAAACTAAATCTTATTTGTAGGTTGAGAATTTACAAAGTTATAGTTTATACAGATCTTGTACAAGGCCACAGTAGATAATATTAGACTGCTTGACCTTCCTAAGTCAGGTGTCAAACTTGGCATTTATGTAAATGGATGATTGGGCATGGATTTGTAAAACCAGGTAACTGAGTCCTCATGGCAGCACCGCACAGTTGGTTTAAACACAGTGCTCTAGAGACCGTGTTCAGGGATAGATTCCTGCGTGATCCAGTTATCCTTGTTTCCTTTGTTGCCTGATCAAAAGCCACATCCCAGTTTTAGCCAGGTCAGGATGGATTCATGCAGCTCTACCCACTGGAACAGGTTGCCAGTGTGATATTTACAAAAAATAAGGAAATGAGAGCTGGGAAGTCATGATTTTTCAATAGTGAGTCCAATTGTAAAATAATGCCCAGTAAATATTGGCTATGAAGCAGTTAAGTGCAACAATTAAAAGTGAGGGCTCTGAACTTGAATAGATATTTGTACGCCAATGCTCCTAGCAGCTTTATTCACAATTGCCCCCAGGTGGAAACAACCCAAATGTCCATCAATAGATAAATGGACAAGGAAAATGTGGCATATACATACAATGGAATAACAAAAAGGAAGGAAATTCTGACGTGCTACAACATGGAAACTTGAAGACATTATACTAAGTGAAATAAGTGAGTCGCAAAAAGACAATTATATGATTTCACTTATTTGAGGTACCTAGAGTAGTCACATTTATAGAAATAGAAAGTAGGATGGTGGTTGCCAGGAGCTAGGGGAGGGGAGAATGGGGAGTTTAATGGGTAGAGAGTTTCAGTTTGGGAATAAGAAAAAGTTCCGGAGGTGGATGGTGGTAATGGTTATATAACCATGTGAATGTGTTAATGCCAATAAACTGTACACTTAGTAATGGTTTAAGTGGTAAATTTTATATTATGTATATTTTACCACATAAAAGTAATAATTAAAAAAAAGGCAAGGGCTCTGATGTGAGTTAAACCTGGGCTTGATGTCCATTCTACCCACTTACTGTGTGAGCTTGGGCAAGCCACTTTACCTTGCTGAGCTTCAATGTCATCATCTGTGATATGAGGGTATTAAAAGTACCTACTTATGAAGATTGTTGTAGTGATTAAAAAAGGGTAATACATAAGAAGCATTTAGCGTTGTACCTGGCATTGTACATGCTCAGTAAATGTTATCTCATTTACTGTGATAACGACCAGGTTCTCATCAAAGAAATATTGAGCCTTCTTAAATTTTATATGATGGATAGAGAAGGTGGTTATAAACAATCAAATATTTTAAGGAATTTTAAGGTTCATAAAATAAATGGAAGGAAAAGGAAGGGCAGTAACATTTACTGAACATACTTTACACATATTATGTAATTTCATCTTCACAATAATCCTATGAGAAAGAGCTTTACAGGTTGGAAAAACAGAAGTTCATAGGGGTAAAATAACTTGCAAATCTCACACAGCTGTCAAACAATATTTGAACAAAATTTGAACTCAGATCTGCCTGCCTCCAAAGCCCACTGAGTTTCTAATACCTAACAGGCATTTCTGCATTTAAGCACAGAGCAGTGAGTGGAAAGGTTTCAGGGGGCCTGAGTAGCAATCTGCAGGCACGTTGCTATTGACATCAGAGTGTTTTTGAAAGCTCAATCACATGGGTTGCCATTTGGGCTCTATGGAAGGAAACAAAAATTCCTGGCTCCATCCTGTTCCTCCATAATGTAAGAGTGGGTGTTTCTCACGGGCAATTGGATGTAACCGGATAATGTGAGCTTTAGTTACACCCAGAGCGTTTCCTTAGACACAAGGAAGAACTTGGCTGTCAGGATGACTGAAACGTAAACACACCTTAAAGGTGATTTGGGACCCTGCATCTTTGGAGTATCTTAAAAATAAATTTACCATCCTGGGTATCTCAGATATTGAGCAGCTTAGAGGCAGGGGGTTGGGCCAGATGACTACAGATTTTGTTTAGTATACTGAAAGTTTTGCCTTGAAAAAACCAGCTCTACATGTGGAAAAAACTCCCTAGTAACTGAACGGCTTTGGCTATTACTGGGAGTGGAATTGGAACCTTCCAAAAGTGCCACCATCTTTATCTTCTGATGTTCAGAAACTGATAGTCCAGAGTGTGAAACAGGAACCCAGCGTGCCTCAAACAATAGGAAATGGAAGCTGCCACATGAGCCCTTGAAGAGAGGGAGAGAAAACAGGGCCAGGTAGGAAGCTTGTGGCTTCATAAATAATTATTGAAAACCCCATGGGTGTGTCAAGGAAGGGGACCTGAATATTGAAGTCCTGCTCAAGCCAGGTTGTGACTGAATGCATGAGGGCTTTAAATAGGAGACTGCTTACTTGTGGCTTCTAAATAGATTTTGTTTATACAGTTCTATAAAAGCAGGGCAAAGTATTGCATTCTGGGACATTTAGTTGTGTAGCATGATCATGCATGAGTGCATGCACTACTAAAAAATGGTTTTTAGGAGGCTGGCCTGGTGGCGTAGTGGTTGGGCTCGCACTCCGCTTCTGGGGCCTGGGGTTTGTGGGTTCGGATGCGGGGCATGGACCAACCACTGCACATCAAGCCATGCTGTGGCAGCATCCCACACACAAACTAGAGGAAGATTGGCACAGATGTTAGCTCAGGGCCAATATTCCTCACCAAAAAAAAAAAAAAAAAAGAATGATTTTTAGTACTAACAGCAGTAATAACGCCCACCATTTACATGCTATCTTCAGCTTTTGCAAAACCTGTTTTATACATTCTTAATTGCATGCCCATCCCTAGAAGTTGATATAATTAGCCTCAAGGATGAGAGTCAAAATATTTAAGCACAGAGGCATTGCTCAATTAGCACAGAAGCCAGCAGGGTCCTGAGACCTGGGGTCTTAAGCATTAACTTCTACGTTACTGAGTTTAGGGATGTTAGAGGCTCCCTGGGGAGAGGCTGGGGTACCAGGAGGGCACTCAAGAGTCTCAGGACAGCACCTGTTCACCATCTAGTATGGAAGTATTTCTATATTTTAATAACTAGTTTGTCTGTGGTGGTGCCTATCAGTTAGATGTCAGCTCATTTGCAGAGGAGCAAACTGAGGTTCTGAGAGGTCAAATGGCTCTCCTACATCTCACACTGGTGAGCAGTGGAATTGGGATCCAATGTTGTTTCTCTCCAAGCTTTCCTGGCTTTGGGAAGAAATATGTGTTCTTGATTAAGTAATCCCTAAATATTTACTCCCCATGCTTCTCTGCTGCATTGTAGTATTGCCTAAATTATTCCTCAACAAATGAGTAAGCAGCACATGATAAATCCATACAAGAGAATATAAACTATTAATAATGACAGTATAGAAGTATATTTATGACATAAAAAGATTTTCATATTATATGAATGATGAAAAAACAAGTTACAACAGTATATATATATATATGTATATATATATAAAATGGTCTCATGTTTTGGGGGGGGAAATGCTTGCGAATAGTGCAGTGTAGGTGTTAAGATTATGGACTTTACTGTGAGACAGACTTGGGTTCAAATCCCAGCCACAAACCCTGAGTAACTCTGTAACTTTGGAAAGCTCTTAACCCCACTGAGACTCAGTCTCCTCACCTGTAAAATGTAGAAATCGTAGCATCTACCTCATAGGGATGTTTGGGGGGGAAGTGAGGTAATGTTTGTGAAATGTTTAGCACAATGCCTGACACACAATAAATGCTTTCCACTATATGATAATAATAATAACTCAATAAATTGTACCTACTATTATTATTATTTATGCATAAAAATTTTGGAGAGATATTTATCTTTTTAAAAGCATTCTTTTGTATTTATTAAGCACTCCCTGTGCCCAGCCCTGCATCAGCTACTGTGGTATGTGGTCAGAACAGAAGGTGTGGAGCCTGCCCTGTAGAGCCTTACATTCCAGTTACATGATTAGTTCACCTTTGGTTGGTTACCGTCAACAGGAAGAAGGAAGCTGGTTTTCAAGATTTTTAGAGAAAGCAAACAAACCAGAGAATGAACTGTAGCTTTGGGGTCTGATGGGATCACAAGTGCTGGACAGTAGAAGTTCCTCCTCTCCTGTTTCCTAGGATGTTGAACAGGTTCTGCAACCCTGTATTTGGTGGTTGGTGGTGAATCACCATGCTCATTCTTCATTTCTCTAGTCCCCACCTATTATAGATTTTGGAAAGATAATCATCTACACAAATAACCTGAAAATCATTCGAACACCAATGGACAAGAGAGACTTCCTGAAGAAAATTCTTCAGAAAGAGGAGGCTGAGGAAGAGTCTCTGATGAGCAAAGATGAAATCTATGGAAACAGCAGCCAGAATCATGGGCCTCTGCCAGAGACGGAAAGCACATTTCCTCATAACCAGTACCCACAGGTGTGTTAGAAGAGTTCACTGTCCTACTCGGGGCTGGCCCTACAGCAATGGTCTCCAAATTGTTTTGATGGTGCACCACTTAAGTAAAAACTTTTGAATGTGAATACTTAGGATGTCTAAATGCTAAAGATGTTAAGGAATTTTAAGTTTATTTAATTTTACGTTTTAATTTAAAGTTTTCATATTTTAATGGTACATTGTTAGCAATGATAATTATAACTCCATACTTCAAATACTCATAATTTTATTTTTTGGATGACTTTTTTGAGATCTGATTAGGTATTTATTGTTTTCACTTTGCAACGTAGCTTAGAACAACGTGTTCTAGAGATGGAAAAAATCAGCTCTGTCCTTTTCTTATGGATTCTCTCATGCTTCAATTATAGCTGTTATCCTCAATCTACAGTTTCCTTGAAGAAATCTTATAAAGCCACGTGTCTTTAGATTTTGAGGAGAATAGTTTAGTTAGAACTAAGCAATATAATCTGTAAATCCACTAGACCAGGCACAAGTGAACTGCAATATGTTGCAATATGCTGAAAGTGAACAAATGAGCCAGGACACCATCGTCACTTTAAGTAAAGTGAGGTCACTTTATACCACGCTTGCTCCAGGGTCCCTTGGAGGGACCATATTTGTCTAGTGACTGGCTGACCTAGTGAAAGTGCCAGTGTCAACTAGTTTATTAAAAATTAGTATAACAATTTTTTTGAAAATATTATTAAAGCCTAATTTCTTTCCTTCTCTAGATAAAAAGTAAATATAAATAGTTCAAATGTTTTTTTCTCCCCACACTTCTCAGAGGTGTGCACTCACCACCTTGGAAACCATTGCTCAGACATGCTCAGATGGGGGGAAGTGGGATGATATTCATTAGTTCACAGTGCGGGGTTAGGGGTGGGAAAAGTCATTTTGATGAATTTAAGTCAAGAGAGTAAAACCTTGGAAAGCAGCAGAAATGAATATTCTCTCTCTTTAAAGTCCATCTCTTGGGACTTGAAGCTTTCTGTGGGACTCACTTTCACCTCCCATGAGTTGGTGTCACAAAATAGGCCAGGGGCTTCCTCGCACTTGAGTGATGTCCGCATCCTGGGAAGGTTTAGGGGACAGGAACAAGAAGGTCATGACCAGACTCCAGCAAAACACTCTTAATAAAGCTCTGCTCACAACCATTCATGTCTCTTTCCAACCTGATGGCTAACTCGATATTTCTGAAATGCAAATCATGTCACCCCTTCGTCACCCTTTCCCCCCACCCAAAACTTTCAATGGCCTCTCATTACTTAGGATAAAACCAAAACTCCTCACTTGTTCTAGAAAGCACTGTGTAGCCTGGCCACTCCTGTCCTCTTCCTCATATCTTACACGTCTCTCCTCACTCTCTCTGCCCCAGAAACACTGCCCATCTAGCTATCGCTCATCTGCTCTTTGCTCTTTCCTACCAGAGGCAACTTCTTTGTGCCTAGAAAGTTCTCCAGATTCACTACCGCCTTGCCCTCAGCCCCTGAGATCTCAGTGGAGGCATCACGTCCTCAGAGGGGCCTCCCCTGGCTTCCATGAAGACAAAATCCCCAAGGGTGGACCCCTCAGTGCACCTCACATCCCTCCTCACAGTTGTAATCTTACATCTATTTGTGCAGTGATTTGGTTAATGTTTGCTTTCACCTACTAGGATTTGGTCTCCATGAGTGCAGGGGCCATGTTTATGTTGGGTGTAACACAGTAGGTCTAATACCAAAAAAAAAATGGAGCTTGGCATATAACAGGTGCTCAGTAAATATTGTTTATGAAAGAATACCAGAATTTGGGACCAAAATGCCAGCTGGTATGAAGTATTCTGCCTCTGTCTTCTCTTGCCTTCTCCACAGCCCTATTCGGAACCTAGCACAGCAGCAGGCAGACAATTAAACATTGTGATCCATTGTGAATTACCTTCCCACTTTAAAACTCATTAATTCTACTTACCACATTGTAACTTGTAGGAGCATGTATTTTCAGAAGAGGGCCAGAAGTGGGAAAATGCAGGTCACGCTGCAGGCCTGAATGAAAAAGCAATAACAGGCCCAATATGACGATTCCCTGTAAATTCAATTTGGAGGGATCCATGTTTTTTAGCTGTAATGCCATAAACTAGGACCGAGGTGTACAGCAGAAAGTTGCCATGAAAGGTTATGCTTCACTTGCCTGTCCTTTAAACTCTGTTTTAAATTGCTATTTGTTTGCCCGATCTCTCATGCAGTAAATGCCCAGACAAGTTTTATTCTAAAAGAGAGAGTCAAAGAACATCAAGGAGCCTCTTCTGACCAAGAGACTCTTTGTTGTGTTATTGGAACAGGGAAGCAGTGGGAACCTTGATGAAAGAGCAGGGCAAGGCTAAAAGCCAGGGCATGCTGACCCTCTGTATTAACTGTAAAAGAAAAGGAGAGGAATAATTGAATTGAGCTACCGTGAGACATGGAAGGGGAAAATCTGGCCCTGTGTTTTGTGGATTTGAGACCGTAAATCATCTGGGCTTCTTTATGCTTTATGTGATCTTGCCTTTGAAATAATAGTAATAATAATAAGAACAGCTGCCATTTATTGAAGGCGCATGATAACCAGTCACCATGCTCAATGCTTTCCACGCAATGGTCCATTTCATTCTCACAATGACTCTATGAGGTAGGTATTAGTAGTAGTCTCATTCTGGAGCTGTGGAAACTAAGGCTCAGAGAAGTTAAGTAACTTGCCAGAGGTCATAAGAGCTAGTAGTCAAACCCAGGCCCACCTGACTACCAATCTCATGATTTTAATCATTCTGCCAAGCAGCCTCCAGATTGGTGCTGGTTACCATCTTCAGGGCTACACATGCCTTTGAGACTGCAATGAAAGCTGAGGCCCCTTTCCTTGGCCATGGAGCTAGTAAGGGGTGGTTTGGGTAGGTTTGTCAGTTCCGGAACCTAAGCTATGCTGCACAACTATGTTCCAAGTCCCCTTACTAAATATTTTATGAGAAGAATTTTTAAAAATACTGAGAATGGAAGATAGAAGCTTATATCCTGCATGCCTTGCATAAAGTAGAGGCTCAGTAAATACTTGATTTAATGAATCATTAAATGATTAAATGAGCAAGTTGAGGACGAGTGGTTGGATGAAGGGTGGTAACCCAGGGTGAGAATGATTACTCCAGTGAAAGCTCTAATAGTGCCTCCTAGAACCACATGACATTAGATAAAATTTGATTGATGATTTGTTCTTGTTCCTACAGCAGGCTCACCAGGTCATTTCATTAATCTTTCAGTATCTGCCCTGGCATTCTATGCAAATTAATTTGTGGATCACATGTGTAGCATTACGGTAGGATTTTACTCTACTTTCTTTGACAACATTGACTTATACCATTAAGATTTCACTGGGATCAAGTCAAAACATAAAATATGTGGATTTGGCAAAAAAATGGACCATGGAAATTTGCTTTAAGAATATTTTGGCAAATACATTTATTTTGAATACTTCAAGAGAAGAAAACAAATTTCTCCATTGTTATTATATTAAAATATGGCAACGATCAATAAAACAACAGAAGGGTACACAGACATCATTTAGGTTTTTGTCAGTTGGATAATCACTTCTATTCCCTAAATCTAGAATAAATAAAATTTAATACCTTCTTCGGCACTTTGCGGCTCAATGGAGCTATTTTCAGAAATTATGCCTCCCTTTTCAGAGATTATTTTTATTCTTAGGTTATAAAAGAAAGCTATGTGAGCTGGGTGGAGCCACCTAGTGGACTCCAGCTGTCTTGTTAGTTCCTAGAATGTAAGAACAGGAAGGGTTCTCCAGCTTTCATTGTTTTGTTTGTTTATTCATTTTGCAAATGTTGAATAGCAAATGTTGTGCCAGGCACTGCACGAGATGTCCAGGAAGTGGTGGTGAGAGGACTAGCCCAGCAAGCTTCCTGTCTAGTCAGCAGGAGCTTTCAGTAGCTATGACACCTGCCATGCTTGGGGCAGTACAAGAGGGCAGGACTCCTGGTCCAGAGATGTGGGTGGGCAAGGCTTCCAGGAGGAAGTGCTGCTAAGCCGACATCTGAGAACAAGTAGGAGTTGGCTGAGTTGGGAGCAGGGAAAGGTCTCTGGAGACCACTGGAGAAAGACCTAAGGACAAGAGCCTCATGATATAGGAAACTAAAAATTTAAATCAGCTAAGGAGATTGGGTTTTAATCTGAAGTTTATCTGGAGATCAAGTGTTCATTAAAAGGTTTCTTGAGATCTATGTGGCAGTCACAATGGCAAGCAACTCAATGAGACTGGCATCATCGGGAGAGCACCCCACAAGACCAGACTCAGGGGTACACACTGAATTCATGCCAGAGTTGGTGGGTGTCTAGACTAGGGCTGTGGTTTTGGGGTGGAGAAAACTGGATGGATTTGAGAGACGTCTAGAAGGTGAAATGGACAGGACTTGGTGCTGGATCCACCTGATATTGATCTAGTATACCCCTTATTTCTTAGAATGTTCATGGTCTATGCATGGTCTTTGCATAGGAGTGCCAAGATTGCCAATTTCCTTAAGATGTCTTAGGGGAAGAGCATGACAATAGACAAGGGACATTTTCTGGAGGGTGGGAGTAGAGGACTGGAGACCTATCAGCAAGACTTAGAAGTGAACTAACTTTTATGGAGAACCTATCATATGCCAGATAATATATTATGGTATTTTTATATACTCTCTCATTTAATATTCCAGCTAATCAGAGAGCTAAGCATTATCACTCCCATTTCACAGGTAAAGAAATGGAGATTTAGAGAGGTTAAGGGAACTGTCCAAGGTGCATAATCAACATCAGAAGCAGGCCTCACATCCAGGCTCCAGAGCAGAGGTCTTCATCACTGGACCTTATCATAGTTCTCAAAGAGAATAAAGATAAAGCACTGCAAGAATTCAGAGCTAAGCTTCGAAAGACTGTAATATCGTTTCATTCATCCACTCAGTCTCTCACAAAACGATCTTTCTTGAGCACCTAGTATTGGACAACTACAATGAAGGGCTGTACACACAATCATTGGGAGCACGAACTCTGGTGCTTGACTGCCTAGGATCAAAACCTGCTTCCTCCTCTTCCAGGCTGTGTGACCGTTGGCAAGTAACTGAACTTCTCGGTACTCATTTTCCATCTGTAACGTAGGGATGATAATACTGACACTATCTCACTGGATGCTGTGAGGATTAGACGGATTGATAAAGAGAGAGCTCTTAGAACAGTGCCTGGCATCTATGAGGCACTCTGCAAGTGTTCACTATTAGTACTTGGCAATGAGAAAAATTAAGTCCTTGCCCTTATGGAGCATACCAAAATAACACGTCAGGTGGTGACAAGGGCAACAGAGAACGTCAAGTCGTAGAACGCAGGCATGGTGGCAGGGGACGCTGTCTTAGACATGTCCATCAGGGAAATCCTCTCTGATAAAATTGCTGTGATTATTCCGTGTCTCTGACCAGTTCCCTCACTGGCATTTGTGGGAAGCATTTTCCTCTTATTCTGCCCCAGCCTTTGGGACAGCCCAGTGCTCTTTTGACCTGCATGTGAACAATGGACTTGAACTGCTGCTGTAACTAAACCCTGACCTCTCTTGCAGGAAGGGGAGCTTCCTGAGGACAACTGTTTTCACTGCCAAGGGTCGGGCAGTGCCACTTGCTCTCTATGCCACGGCAGCAAGTTCTCGATGCTGGCCAACAGATTTAAGGAGTCCTATCGGGCCCTGCGGTGCCCTGCCTGCAATGAGAATGGCCTGCAGCCTTGCCAGATTTGCAATCAATAGCCCGTGGCTTTGTATGTCCGCTTTTATTGCATCCTCCCTAAGGTTGTTTCTAATAAACTGCCCCCTCCTCCTCCTCCTCCTTCTCCCATCAAGAAAGCCACAGAGGCTGCGAGCACTTCCACCACTGGCAAAACTCAGTTACTCGATGACATTTCATGAGGCTGGTAACATCTCCATGTGGGTCTAAGTGGCAGGGGCATTTTTGAATTAGAGTCTGCTCTGAAACTGGTTCTAAAATTTTCCTTCCAGGAACGTGTGCGTGTATCTCACTTGACTTAGCTCAGTTTTCTCCTTGCGCTTGTGAACAAATAGATGTACACTTTGGGCAGCAGGTTGAGGTCATTTTCTGGTTGGGAGTTATTTTGCAAAATTATGCAGTGAGAAAGGAATAAAAAAGGCAGGTTTCTGATGAACTGAATTCCTGTTGCTTATAGTGCACTTCAAATCATTCTTGGTCAAATTGAATTTTTAATCAAGCAGAAGAGGAAATGGATGCCCAATGCCGAATGCCCTAGCAGGCCACTGAAAACAAAACAGCGTGTAGGTGCTTCATGCTGGAGATAGGCAAGCTGAGGAGGCCTTTCTTTCCAAGTCCTGAGTCTCTCTTGTGTGATGAGCTTAGGTAATATTCATGCAGGCGACAAGCACTGCTATTTTTTATGACAAGATGAGATAAGACATTTCTCTGTGCCTCTATAGTACTGAGGTTATAAGCCAAGTCAAAGTGATTTATGATAAATCTGGTGCTTAAGTATACGTATGTGATATGACTTCTTCTAGCCCCTGAATTATTACCAAATAAATAAATCTATTTTAAGTCTAAGATATAGCCACAATCTCTTCGTGAAAGACTGTGGATATTTTTAGGTATTTATTGGAAACCTCTAAAAGAAAAACTAACCAAGGCTGATTTTTAGCAATTATCATTCCACTGTCTAAGAATACACATACTAAGGATAATTCTTTTCTCTTAAATTTGGTTATAAAATTAGAAAAATACTTTTGTTAATGAACTTTTATAGCTCTAACACCCATTCTCCTTGCCCCTTGAACATAACACTAAAATCTGCTATCTATTGAGACCATTGCTTTTCTATGATAATTATTTTGATTTTCATAACTTAATTTTTCAAGATTTGTTTGTTATTCTTTAATATTCAGCTATTAAAATAGTTCAACAATGGAATGCATTTCAGGCAATATAAATACGTCTAATAAAAAAATTAAAATATTTTTCGAAGCCATGATAATTTTGCCTGTCTTCTCTTAGCCAGAACGATAGAACTATTGCTCATCAACTTTCTTTGCTTCTGTACTTAACTATTTTCCACCTCTGTTGATGTTTTGTCACAGCTATTGACTCTTCTATTTTTCCAGAATGCCAGGGGAAGGAATGATATCCAGAGACCTTTAAGTGTATTCCTCTGCTTTTTGACAGGATCGTTCGACAGCAAATATTGTTCGAGCCCTGTATGCAGGACACGCAGGACCACATCACTAGGTGCTTGCTGTGCAGGGTTACACAGATGAGCACCACCCCTTTGGTAGCTCATGGGACTCACGGTTGCAGTGAAGGAGACAGATCTATAAACAGATAATTACAATATAGAGTTACAAGTTCTGGGATAGGGGAATGACAGGGAGCATTTGAAGCACATAGAAGGAACACCTAATGTAGCCAGAGTGGGGTTAGAGAGAGGCTCCCAGAGGAAGAGGTGTAAGCAATGTTGGCTTCTTTTTCTTCCCCCATGCTCTTAAGAGCCTTTAATACTTTTCATGCCATAATAAATACATCTCCTAATGATGACATTTATTTATTCAGTCAACAAGTATTTACTGGACCCTGGGTATATATCAGTAGACAAAACAGAAGAAATCCTGGACCTTGTGGAGCTTACATTTTAATGGTGGGATACTGACAACTAAAATATATACATATATATATAATATATATTTTTAGAGACAACTAAAAATATATAATATAGAATAAAATATAGTTATATATGATAAAACTATATATGTATATACATAATGTATAGTGTGTTAGAAAAGGATAAATGCTCTAATGAAAAATAAATAAGGGAGGTAGGGAGTTGGGAGGGGTTGCAATTTTAAATTAGTTTTCCGGGAGGCGTCCTTGAGAAGGTGTCCTTTAAATAAAGGCCTAAAGGAGATGAGGAAGTGAGTTGTGCAAGTGTCTGGGGTGAGATGGTTCCAGGCAGAGGAAACAGCAAGTGATGGACTCATAGGCAGGAGAGCCTGGAGTGTCCGAAGAGCAGCAAAGAAGCCAGCGAAGTGCAGTGAGCAAGATGACAAGTGGCAGCCAATGAGGTCAGAGAGGAAGGCGCGTGTGTGTCGGGCGAGGGGGCGCCCGCCTTCGAAGCCACTGTAAGAACTGGGGTTTTACTGTGAGGGAGGTGCTGCTCTGGATGGTGTGTTTTCTGTCAACCTCACACCCTCTCCTTCTATACCTTCCTCTTACTGCTGGGGCAAGAGACCTGCAGACTACACTTCCCAGAGTCGCTAACCTGCTGGCTTCCCGTTAGTTGCTGCCTTTGGGAGGTACTGGCAGGACTGGAAGATGGGAGGAAGGAAGAGCCTTCCTTTTTCTTGGATGAGGATCCTGGCAGCCTTTCCCACGCGGCAGCTGCATGAGCAGCAACAGCAGCTGAGAATGCTCGCTCAGGCAGCTGGGCTCCAACAGCAGTCACTTCAGCTGCTCTGATTGTAGGTTTGAGGTAACACCATTTTCCCTTTTGTTCCTCCAGCCTAACGGTGGTAGTGGCTTCCTGCAGTTACTAATCTTTGTAATCAATTCCCTATAATATATATTCCTTCTCTTCGAGGCATCTAGAGTGGTTTCTGGTTTCCCAGTTGTATGCCAACTAATACAAATATTTTGAGCAGAGGAGGGTCATGATCTGATTTACGTTTTAATGAGCCACTCTGGCTGCTGTGTTGAAAGAAGATACTATGGGGCAAAAGTGGAAGTGGGAGTCCACTTAGGAGACCATTGCAATAATCCTGGTCACAACTAATAGTGGCCTGGACCACTGTGGTACTAGTAGAAGTGGTAACAGTGGTCAGATTGTGGATACGTTTTGAAGGTAGAGCTGCAGGGTCTCCCTATTGTCCTTTGTACCCAGAAATATTGCTTATGACCTACTCTATGTAAAACATATCTGACTTCTTTGCCTACTAGTGGAGATAAATTTGCACTAAAATATCCACTTCCTGATTTGTGAACTACAAACATTGCCAGTGGGTTGGGCAGTGTCAGGGTTAAGTGTAGGGCAAGGTTAGCTACAAGAATTCCTTCAGAGCTAGAAACAAATATGAAGGTTAAAAAATATCATAGCGATGCTATGATTAAAATAATGCTATATCCTTTGAAAATGCAAGAATTGTTTAAAGGAATACCTGTTTTCAAAAGACATAACATCTATCCATTCACTTATTCATTGAGCAATTTTTCACTGGATTTCTGCTATGTTCCAGGCATTTCATTTGTACTAGGTCCTCAGGATACAAAGATGAAAATACACTTGGTATTTATCATTAATGAGATTATAATCTTAGGCCTCTAGGTAGCATAATAAATCAATCTGGCCTTACAATTTGGGGAGGACACTGTTGCTACCCTTTGCTACTTACTCCACTGACTCTCAGCAGCTCTGCTTGGCCAGGTTAGCTGGCAGCTGTGGGGGCTGTATTACAGAGTTTGTTTATTTATTTTAACAAGCACATATCAGCTGTTCTGTGTGCAGGATACTGTTCTCACTAACTCCTTGAATCTTCCTAACAATTGAATTAATTCAGTTCATTGTTCACCTCTTAGTCCCACACATGTTGTTTCTTTCCACATCACGTCTGCCCGGACACTTTCTGTGACCCTCACAAACACGGTGCCTTGCTAGGGCTTCGTGAAAGTAACAAACTGTACCGGAAATGGGAGAAGCCTCGGGGGCTGATACTGCATGATAGTCACGAGACAACTTCATGTAGCAAGACTTCTTTTGTTGACTGTGCTGGCCACTTATAACCATCTTGCCCGTTCCTCCTTTCTTTTCTGCCTTTCCATCCCAGTTTATCCTCTATTCTTCTTACTCTGTTAGGTGGACCAACTCATCTTTATCGCCCCTATCCCAAACGTGGCTTAGCCTCAAGGCCTGTCTACTCCTTCGCTCACAAAGATGTGTGGCCAGCAGGCTTCCTTTCACAGGCCCCACCCTTCTTGGAGGACACTTGTGGTTTGAAATGGCTGTATCTTCCCCTCCCTGCCCATCTAGGGGATTCTGTGGGGTGAGGAAGGCAGAGTTCATATGCCTCATACCTTTGCCCCTAGAGCAACTCTACTTTTTTTCTGTTTTTATTTTAGCTTCCAGGTAAGACCCCTTTTGAAGAGAGAGTTGCACATTTAAAATATTTTTTGAAATCCACATTAAGCATAAACTTTGTGACCCATAATTTACCTTTCTAAATTAAACCAACCAAAGACATCAATGAAGCTTCAGTTTATAGGAAAGATGATGTTGTTCTTATTCTAAGTTTTCCACAAATATGAATCGCTCTTGTAATATATTCATTTAACCTGGTGCCAGTGACATTTTAAAAAAATTTCTGCGATTCACTAGAGCTTAATCTGAGTGAATTTTATGATAAAGGTAAATTTGAAAGAAATGTTCACAGTTGTTTTTATCACCTGTGCTCATTAGTGGCATCTCCTCATTTTCTAATTAAACACAGTAATTATAGAGAGTTCACATTCATGCAATTCATGTGAGAGAGAAACGGAGTTATGTCAGTGTCAGAATTATGGCATATAATTACTTCCTGTGTTAAAGAACATGTAAAACCCAGAGAAGAAAAGACTTGGAACCATAATACAGGAGAACTTCCTCATTGCTTGGGGGTGGGCGAGTGGGAGAAGGAGGTAGGAATGGAGCAGTTAAATCAGGGCTTGGCAACACTAGAGTCAACGTTTATCTCCTTTAACACTGTGAGCTTCCTCTTTGTGCAGTCTCCTTAGCATCACTTTTATCCAGTTCCCAAGTACTTCTTCCCCTATTAATGATTATTTCTCAGAAGATTGGGGCCATTAATTCATGCTAAGATGTGAATGGCTAATAGATTATTGACCATGTCTGCTTTTTAGGTTCCAAGTGTTATATTTTTGAAGGCCTCCTATGAGTCAGGCCATGTGCAAAACACAAGGGGCCAGAAGATGAAATAGACATAGTACCTTCTCTCAGGGACATTATAGTCTCACAGGGAACCAGAGATTTAAATAAATATTTGCAAAATAAAATGATAGGTGCCATAGGAGGGGAAGAGAGTAGAGAGTGGTTAACTCTCCTTTAATTGTTGGTCTCCTTCATTCAGCTATGAGCTCTTTAAGGGCAGGAAGTGTGCCTCACCTATCATTGTACCCCCAGCATCTACCACAGTGCCTGATGCATAGAAGGTGTTTAATAAATGGTGATTTGGTGTTTGCAGAGACATGATATTTGGTTGCCCACACAAGGCCCTCAGTCTCTTGTTGTCTTATGGGCCAATGCCTTGGGAAAATTTCACAGGTAGACAGCTTCTAAAACGGCTCCCAATGATCCCCACCTCCTGGTATTCCTGCCTTTGTGCATACCCTTGAGTGTGAACCAGACTTAG